CTTCTGGGAGGGTCACCGTGCGGGTGGCATGAGACAGTTCGTGGCGAGCACTTAGCCCAGCGTGTGGGGCGGGGCTGGGGCTCCATCCGTGTGGGTGACGGATCCGGCGCCCGCCGGCCCTTTCTGTGCGTCATGAGCCCTCTTCAGTGCAGCTCTCCACAAACACGCCTTTGCGCCCTGGCTCTTATCTCCTCTTATCTCCTCCCCCGATCGTGCAAGAACTTTCCCGAGAGCATCTTCCCAGCCTGACCGCCCTCCTGGAAGGAGCTGGGACACGTGGTGCCAGGACCTCTGTGCTGAAGGGTCACTAGCCTGCAGCATCCCTTCTCCCCTCCGCCCCCACCCCCATCCTATCTCTTCTTAAAAATGGACACGAAGTAGGATTAAAGTGGGTCCCAGTGAGGAACGGGCGACCTTGCTCAGCTCTCAACCCGGGGCGTCCCTGGGGAGCTTCTCAAAACGTTAGCGATGCTCGACCCCATCCCCAGGGATGCTGCCAGTGGGTCTGCAGGGGGTCTGGGTCTCAGGTTCTGTAACCACCCTCCCCCCAGTGGATGGTTCCCACGCGAGGCCCGGGCTGAGAACCCTAGCCAGGGGTTTGCAGAATCAACATTGCCTTTCCGGGGCCTTCTGAGTCCTTGCTCTGAGATGGCTTCGGTGGTGGGGAACTTTACCAGATGTAAGGGTTCTTGTCCAGCTCCTGTGAATGTTTGGCTTTGCCCAGGGAGATTTGGAGGAGATACCAGCTTGACACCCAGAAGGATCAGCTCATGCTGGGGGCCCGTCTCAGACCTCTGCCCCCACCTGCAGGGGGAGCACGGGAGGTGTGGCCCAGGTACCTGGCAAGGCGGGCTGGCCAACCAGGGGAGGCTGCTCAGCCGCGGGGGCAGCTGCTACCCAGGGAGGACACAGACACGAGGTTGAGGGGACGTACTGGGCTGGGGGCGCTTCGTGGGGCTGCTGTTTCTGGATAGCCTGCCCGCTGTCCCCCTGTGGCACGGTTGCAGGAGGGCAGCACGGACCTGGCCGCGGCCGGCCGTGGGAGCTGTAGCTTCAGACACACGGGAACCCTGCCCCCCCCCTCCTGGGGAGAGCGTTCCGCCCACGGCGCTCCCACCCACCGCTTGTCACCACTTCACTCCTCCGGGATGCTCGCGGGCACGTTGCCCAGGCAACCAGAATGCCAGCACATTGCCATCCTTCAGTCTCCTCCAAGCACCTGTGAAGCCTGGCGTGCACCAGCCCCCCGGGCCTCCGAGTTCTGCAGACGCTCCCAGGGGAGGGAGATGGGCCCCGGGGTGCCGTCCACCACCACAGCCACCAGGGGCGTACAGGGACCGCAGCCGAGGCTTGGGAGCACTTCCGAGGAGCCAAGCCTAACCTAGTCTCCGTGGCGTTCCCATGAGACCCTGTAGGCTGTCACCCCATCTTACAGGTGGGGAAACTGAGACCTAGGCCCCGTGGATCACCCGAAATCACACAGCCAGCAGGTTGCAGCGCCAGGACGGGGAAGTCAGGTAGCCGGCGGTGCGCCCCCTCTGTCCCCACACACAGCGCCGCTTCTGGAGTCTGTGTGGGTTGGTCATCTCCAAGACTCTTTCCTCTTGGAGATAAAGATAGCCAAGCCCACCTCACCAGGCCCCGGGCGGGTGGGGCAGACCATCTGTGCGCGAGAGCTTCCGACTTCAGCCCTGAGGGCCCTGGGGCCAGACGGGCCTCCGCGGTGGGGCCTGTCCTGTGCATGGGGCAGTTTCTGCACGTCCCTGGTCTCCGCCCACTGGACGCCGGTGGCAGTGCCTCCCTCCCCAGCTGCTGATAAGCAAGGCAGTCTCAAGACCCTGCTGAATGTCCTGCGGCGGCCTTGTTCCCCCACCCCCGGCGAGACACACTGGGACACACCGTCAGTGTGAACTTGGCGGCATCCGTGACCCCCCAGGGGTTGTTACCTTCTCCAAGAGCCCGTGAAAGGATTCCCTGGGCCCCCCACCCAGGGCCCTGATGGCTGGACAAGGCTGGGAAGGTCTGGTGCCCGCCCAGGCGCATCCCCGCAGGCAGGGCCTCTGCGCAGACTGTCCGGGGAGCCGAGTCACCGCGGTTACAGGTCTCAGAGGGCTTGATCTGGCTGTTTCCTCTCGTGTGTGCCTGGTCCCACGGTCTAGGATGCTTGGGACCTGGTTCCTGAGCACAGAGATCATAAGTCCTCGTGTCCTAGACTTGCAGTGACCCAGCCGGGTGCCTTCGTCCGTGGTCTTATGTTGTCGACATGTGGGTGATGAGGGTCTGGGGTGAGCGCACCCACCCACAGATGCCGCAGGACAAGTGGGTCCGTCAGACCAGTCTCCTAGTGCTTCGCCCAGCACCGAGCACGCAGGAGCGGGAAGGTGCGAGGAGGACCCTAGACCCCGAGGCTGACCCTCCGCTCCAGGGAAGGAGAGGAGGCGGCTGGTCGCGTTGGAGGTTTTCCACCCAAAGCAGATGGACCGTCCGCACTGCCCCCTCTCTGAGAGTCAGATACCACGTGCGCACCTGACCCCCGCCGGGGCCACGGAAGACGGAAGCCTCGGGGACTGAGGGCCTTCCCTGAGAGGGGGGGATGCTGTAATCCCTGCGGGTCGCGGAGCTGAGTGAGGAGCCACTCAGACAGGACATTTCGGTGACATCAGGCTGGGAACACGGTTCAAGGGAATCCCGGCTGCATTTTTTCATTAGGAAAATTGAACCATGTCTGCTTTCCAGGAGAAAGTGTGTGTTCCCTTCCCGAGCTGAGGAGTGGAGACCGAGGGACCTGTGCCCTGAGCCGGGAGGCCAGGTCTCTGCTCCTGAAGTTCAGCTGGGCTCGCCGTCCTGCTGGTGATGGGGGGAAGGGGACCAGGGCGGAAGGAGGCTCCCCGAGCGTGTCTGGGCGCCAGGGCCTCGCACGTGCAGGGATAGGAGATGGGTGCCTGCTGGCACGGAAGACCACGTCCCTTGCCCTCCAGGGCAGAGAACTGGGGCAGCGCGGAGTCAGGGGTGACCTCGCCCAGCCAGCTCTGCCCTCGCACCGGGAGTCGAACGTCTCTTCCTGATGGGACGCACGTTTTCCCAGGAGGAGGACAGAGTCGTGAGTCGAAGGCTCACCCCGCCAGGAGTTTTTCTTTGCCCAAGGTCAGGTCTGGAGCGTGGCTGCTGTCTCCCTTCCGTCTCAGCCCTGGGGTCTGGGACTCCTTGGGTGGCTCCCCGCAGGCTCCATCCAGCCAGGACCCCAGCCTGCCACCCCTGGGTCTCCAGTCTCTGCAGAGCGCAGAACCATGCTGCCGTGTTCTCGGGGAAGATACCCTGCATGTGCTGGAGAGCAAACCTCGGGCTTCTTCCCTCCCAGCCTCCCGCCGGCCCCCTGCGGGGCAAGCCCTCAGCTGGAGCGCCCCGCCCCTCCCTGCCAGCCCGAACCCGGGAACGCAGGTGTGAAAGGAAGGGGAAGCCGTGCCTGTCACTCACCTACCGTCCTCTCTGTTCAGGATGGCTGCTTCCTTAGATTTTTCCCGTTCCACGGCCTGGCTGGCAGATGGGTGAGTTTCAAAGAGTTGAAAACAAAGTGGGAGGGGGAGGGTGTGGCTCAGTGGTAGAGCCTGCGGTGAGCGCGCTTGAGGTCCTGGTTCAGTCCCCAGCACCTCCAGTAAATAAATGAATGAATAAATACCTAATTACCTCCCCCCAAAAAAAATAAAATGAAAAAAAATTTTTTAAGTGGGTTTTTTCCCTGGAGTGTGTGCTATGCTTGGGGATCTGGGTGGAAAGGGGTGGGACGTCTGGCAGGTGGGACGTCACCAGGTGACCGAGGTCAGCGTCGGCACTTGGGTCGTGCTGACCACAGGCACCCCGATGCCACGTGATGAGGGGGACACTGCAGCTCTGGTGCCTCCCAAGGACCCATCGCCCCAGTCTCGCCATGAGAGAAACACCAGACACACCCAAGCAGAGGGACAGTCCGCAAACTGCCTGACCCGTCCTCCTCACAGCTGTCAGAGCAGGTCTGAGCAGCCGCCACAGCCGGGAGGGGCCCGAAAAGATGTGATGACCGCTGTCACGTGGTGCCCCGAGCGGGATCCTGGAAGAAAAAACTGGCGAAATCCTAATGAAGTATGGAACCGGGCTCCTGGTGGTGGACCCGCGCTTTCCCTCAGCTTTAGGAGACTCAGCCGAGGGAGGGA